CACACACACACACAGACACAGTCTCCTCCTTCACATAAGAGTTTGGTTCTCGGGGGGAAACTGCCAGTGAAAGCTGACGCTGACTTTGAGTGCGCGCTAAATTCAAAGTCCAGGCTCTGCGTAAAACTGAAGTACAAACAACTAGAGATTTCCTGAGGATTTAAGATAGTTAGGTAGTTGTAATTTATTTTCAAAGGTTTTTCATTTCTTAAAAAGACTCAGCTGTGCCTCAGCGTCCAAAATAGTTTGGGACTTTCCACAACCGATGTTTACGCACAGCTGTCTTGGTTTTACTTATGAGCTTATGCCTGAAACTGCCAGGATCCGTTGTTTATCGCCTTGGAAGTGACTGTATGTACCCAGATGGATCAGTGACTGCTGACAGGTATGCTAGATGAAATGGAGTAACGTTTCCAATGGATAGAGCAGAGCTTCTGTGGTTACTTGCTAGTTTCTGTCAGGTAAGATGAAGTCTTGGAAAACATTCAGTTCTCTGCAGTTTATGCTCAATATCAATCAAGTTTATTTAGCTTCTGTGGCATACTTAACATATTACTTTCCTCTTCCTCAGGTGATTTTGCTGACATGTGAACAGCATTTAAACCCTGTTGAGCTTGACGTTATTTTTCAGTCATTCCCTTCCACTAAAGATCCAGACACCTACGCAGTCTCCTGCAGGACTGCAAGTAACCATCTGGTAAGAAAACCTGTGCAGGTGACACTGGCAGATAGTGAATTTCAGTTTCATTAGTTTGAGAAGTAAATGAATCGTCACATCTTTGCAGGTGTATGTGCAGCCCATTGATCATTCAGCATGCTCCCGTGACTGCAAAATGTCACTGCGATTGATTGACGACCCAAGAGGATACAACATCACGCTGAGAGCCAGCAGAAATGATGTAACTCTTGAGGCAAAGACCTTTCACTTTAGTGAGTGTCTGTGAACCTGATGGAGGAAAAGTCACATACTTACGTATTAATTCATGCGTATTGATGTTACCATCTTTCATCTTGTCTCTACCCTATCCCTTCTGTGTTTGTATCCAGTTCCAGTCTCCCTGTCCTCCCTTCAAGTATACAGCACTGCGACTACTGCTCTCCTGACATGGGAACTTCACAGACAACAAAGCCTAACTACCTTGAGTCTATACAACACTCACACACAATCTGTCACACACATCTTCAACGTCAGCTCATCAGTGGCAGAGTCTCAATACGCAGTGAAAGGTCTCCAGCCTGGGACACGCTTCAAGGCCAAAGTTGTGGTGACAACATTCCTCAAACACCTTAATATGAGCTTGAAGCAGAGACTCGACATTGGCATGGAAACAGGTATTGTGCATATTTGCTTTAAAACTGACTGCAGACAGGGTGAAATCCGTCGGTATTAGTTGATGATGAATTCTGTCTCCAGCTCAGTGCCCTCCTGACTGGTTGGCCAATGAGAGAAGCTGCTATACTGTGAGCAGGACAGGTTTGACGTGGAGTGATGCCCTGCACAGATGCAAAAACTTGGCAGCTGGAAGTCACCTGGCTGACCTGAAGACCCGGGAAGATCTGCTCTTCATATCTTCTCACCTGCTGAGCCACAACAACCTGCTGCTGCTGTGGACTGGACTCAACGACCAGCAGGTATCCTTATTACAGAAACAGACATTTTATCAACAAATAGATTTTTTTTTCCTTTTCATCCTGTCAGAGCCATAATAAATATTAACTTTGTACTTTAACTTTGATTTATTTTTCCATTTATATTGTCAGAATAGCTATATAAAATATTTAATAATCTTTTCTTACAGCAAATCACATCAGAGAATTTTCATGAATAACTTAGCATTTAGCATTTTAAAAGGATTTACCAAGAAAACCTTTTAATTAAAACGTGTTAAAACAGTGTATGCTGTAGGAGTTAAATTGTTATTCTATCCTGCAAGCATGTCAAAATCATGAAGAATTTAGTAGGTAGGTTGTTCCTGTAGGATATGTGGAAAGTGACAGTAGATTTCAAAATATCTTGCAGGATAATAATTCTTTCCTGCTCAACATTTTGTCACACATGTTGACACTAAAGAATACTGTCTTCCTTGTGTGTACAACATTTTTGTTTACATACTTTTTGTGTAACCAATCTGATACAAAGAAATGTCAGTTGTTGTGATTATGTTTTGAAAAAAATGGCATTTTTTTATTACTGGGTAAAATAAATAATAAATAAAAACAAAAATATTCAATATTATACAGATATTATAGTTGTAAAATGTATAATAACATTTCAAAACTAGCCTTTCTAGCCAAAATGACAGTTTACTGCCTTGACCGAAACCAGCAGTGACCAGTATGACCATAAAGGTGTTGAGACTTGATTTTCTGTTTTCTTTCTAAACAGAAAAAGCCCCATAGCAGCACTTACTCCTTAAAGAGGAGTTTTGTTTTCGATCCTTTAACTTTAATGAGTGTGTACACAGTACAGTGCAAAATGCCTCTCTTCTGTCACTCCACAGGAGGAGGGACAACCTCTCTGGTCTGATGGCTCAGTCCATAATCTGACGAACACTATGAAGTCATCACTGCCAGCCAATCAGACAGACTGTTTTGCCCTTCAGAGGAATGCTATAGGGCCCGGATACTTTCTCACTCCATTCTTCTGTAACATCCCCTTACCCTTCATCTGCCAGTACCAGAGTAAATATCTTATGTAATATACCTTTATTAACCAGCACATTCACTGTGGATTTAATTTTTTGACTAATTTGAGGAGTTATCCTAAAAAAAACAATGCATTTTGTTAAAAATGTATCTATTTCCCAATATCTAATTGTAGCAAAGTGTTTATACAGATTTCACTCAATCTCAGGATAAATAACGTATGAAAACACTTACTAGTAAACCTAAACCATATATAAATATAATGTTGCTCTGCTTCTTCCTCTTTCACAGCCCCTCAAGTCCCTGCCTTATTCTCCTTTGACCTGGTTCGGGTGACAGAGCAACAGGTAGCGCTTCACTGGAGTGACCTCTCACCCTTGAACTCACTTAATATTTCATCTTTCGAGATATTTCTCCAGTACCAAGAGGAGGCAACTGGAGAGTCTGGTCAAAGAGAAGAAGATAGAGGCAGGAAGTCAGAGGACAAAAAGAGGACACAGAACAAAAAAATGGTCAAGGTCCCAATTTCCCTGTCCTCTAGAGGGGTAACTGTGACAGGTTTGTCTCCAGGGAGTGTTTACTCTTTCACCCTTCGAGCGGCTCACCCTGCTGGCTCCACCTGGAGCTTGGGACAAACACGGACCGCCTACACTAGTGAGTCTGCAGGCACCGTGTCACACACATACGTTACACAAACACCATCTTATGCTATCAGATGTAACTTAACTTCACATGTTCTTTTTCTTACAGGACCTCTTCCTCCTCAAAATATCACTCTTGGCCCTATTACCATCAGTCAGATTAGTGTCCACTGGGTGCTGCCAGTTGCACAGTTAAGGGTCGGATGGACATTTGTTGTGCGCTATGTGGACATGTCTTCAAGACAAGAGAAGATAGTTGGAATGACCAACATCTCCAGGTTATCAGAGACTGGTGGGTTGCAGCCATACACTGCTGTGATTGGAGGGCTGGAGTCTTATAGGAAATACAGGGTTGAAGTTAACACAGTCACCCAGCATGGGATAGGGAGCTGTGGACAGGTGCCTGTGACTGTACAGACTGGTAAGCATGCAATAGGTCATTTTCACAGCAGACATTTTGACTTATCCTAGCAGAACAAACATGTTACTAATAACATTAACAATAGCACTGTTTTACTCAAGTGTCCCATTAAGCCAAGGCAGTGTGACAGTGAACCGGCATGCATAATTCAGGGCAGCTAAATGGGATTCAGCTATCATCAATTTTATTATTTTACACCTGTTCTTTTTCTGCTGTGATGTCGAAATGTCATTCTTGAAAAAGGTCTACATTAGAACATTGTTTTGATTCGATTAAGTTGTTTCCCTTAAGCTTAAGTTATGAAAATGTGCCTTCTAGCTGCTTGCATGTACTGAATGTCAATGGCGTGAAATGTTTCATTACATATTGGCAACTTGACAAGTGCCCAGTTGTAGTTTAAATTTATAATATTCAATTTACGTGATTTAATTTAATTAATAGAAAGACATAGTTTAAAATGTTTAGCAAAACTGTTGCAATCACATGAAAGTCAGGTTACACTAATTCCCTGTTACTGTCACTGGACTTTTTTTGTGAGTTTGAAGCCGTTTTGCTGTTAATCTGACAGGTGTCTTCAGTTGTGGAAAGCCACGCCACTTCATCACAAGGTGCTAAAAGTGAGGTGGCGTCCTCTCAAGATAAATGCTGAGGATTTCCTGCATGAATAAGTCATTTAGATAAGCAGCTTAACATCTTCAGTCACTGGGTTTAGTAGACATATCTGCGACTTAATAAATTGCGATATACAGTTATTTGTCTCTTTGGACAAGAGGATAACATTTCCCTTCTTTTTAACATCTTTGCATCATGTCTAATGTAAACATTTGTGTGAATTAAGATTTGGTGATCTATCTTGCCAACTAAAATAGATACGTTGGAGATGTTTTACTTTAATTTACAGTCAGAACAATTTCCATTTTGTGCCTCTTAGCGGTGAGAGCTCCTGGTGATCTGGTGGTGTTGAGCTCGATGGCAAATCTTACAGTCTGCTGGACCAGCCCACCTGATGACCCACCAGACGGTTATTATATCACATTCCACCCACCCATTAACCCCACACCAACTTCACTGTGGATAAACCAGTCCAGTCCTGGTGTACAGTGGGTAAATGAGTCTGTGTGTGTTAATCTGGGCACATTCACTCCAGGTCAAACATATGAAGTTGGAGTAGTCTCACTGAGGGGGGAAGATAGGAGCATGAAGACCAGCATCATATACACCACAGGTAAAAGAAACTCGTTTGCTGCACAAATGTTTTCATAGGTTTATCTGAAGCTAACAGAAGGCTTCAGCAGTCTGAGGTAGTCAGTAAATATCTTCCATAGTTACAGCCTCTTTGGAATAAAAATCCCAAATCCTGTGGAAGAATTTGTACTAAACAGGCTATAACTTATCCACAGGACTTGACTTATTTGGAAAGCGGGAGCCTCATATTAGTTTATGATAAAGTTTTAAACACATATTTGACAAAAGGAGGATTTTGTCCCAATGCCCAGTATGATTACAGCAAGCAAAGTCTGTTTCAGTGTACATTTGAACACCTGGCTATTATAAGACGAATTGTGAACCCATCCTTTAACAATGTAGATGTTTTTTTTTACCATGCTAGTCATTTTGTAAACTGCAGTATCTGTCTCTCTTTTCCCCCCCTTTGTACTTTGTAGATCCAATGCCGGTTCAGGTAGTGGTCCCTCTTTCAGTGGGTGTAAACTCTGCACAACTGTACATCCAGCATCCACAACTGGGTCTGATTGATGGGGTGAAAGTGTGTGTATGTCCACAAGTGTGCGACAGTGTGTGTGAGAGATCGTGTGGGTACACATGTGACTGGTACTCTCTCCCTGCCGGCGTTCATATCATAACTCTTCGCAACCTTGGTCCAGGATCAGAGTACCAGCTCAGGGTGCACAGCACCAGTCGAGAGCAGATTGGACCACCTTACTACACCCGCCCTGTTAGAACAAGTGAGTTACCTCTTATATTTGCACATACTAGTCAGATTGCCAGAGACAGCAGACATATTCGAGATGCTTCCAGCTGGAATGTGTCAGCATAAACATAACGGCTTATAACGATTTTAATGCTCTCCCAACATAGTGGCTCCATTAACAATCATGTGAACATGAATATTACCTGAAAATCCAGTCAGTTGACACACCTAGCGGCTCTTGTTTAGCTTCAGCCTGTGATAAATGGTTTAATATTGAATTTTTTATAGTTTTGAGGAAACAAACCAGATGTAACATTATCTGCTGTTGCCAATAACCCTGAATTTAACAGATTTTTAGCCAGAGACAAGTAGTAGTGTAGTGTAATATAATGTAGTCTGGCTTCTTACAGCTGAGATTGATTTTAAAATTTGCTTTCCAATTGTAAACCATCTTTGTTACTGTATTGTAATCTGCAATCACTCATAATTTCTTCTCTTCACCATTCAATAAGATTAAATAAATCCACCGTGAAATCAACCATCACCATTTAGGTTAGGCTTTGAGCTTTAAGACAGATGTTAAATTGTACAATAGATATTGTATCTTGTTTTGTGCTTCTAAAGGCCGACAAAACCCTCCAAAATAAAGGTGCGTCACTTATGTGGCTGAGCTTTTTTTCAGTCTGTCTTGCTAAGTTAAAATAAGACAGAAGGCCTGGAGAGTAATATCATTTTTAAATCTTTTTTTGAAACAAAATTGTGAAGACTTTTATTTGTTGTGTTTTACCCTGTTTCCTTATTATATTTTAATATAACGTGTGTGACGCTTGTAAACAAATTGTAATGATTCAGCTCTTTTTTGGTGATAAATTAGGCATCATCACATAATCCCTAGGTTTTTAAAATACCCCCAACCAAAGGTAATTAGCATTTTATGTTATTGGAATAATTACAGTATTGGTTGTGGGATGTGGTTTGTAATTTTAGGTCTGGCTCCTCCCGACAGAGTGAGGGAGGGTGTGGTGACAGATTCATCCATAGAGCTGCTTTGGGATCCAGCACAAGGGCAGGCTCACAGCTACGAGGTCATCTGCCTTAACTGTGACCATTCACACATGGTAAACTCTTTAAAATATGCGTTTTTTAACCTGTACTTGAGGCTAATATTTTATTTCGCTGAGCACCTGTCAAAGCCTGGGTAAAGAATGAAGTGTCTGCACCCACTGGAATTACTAATGAACCGCCTTCAGCATTTGCTTCAGGGGAGACTCATGGTTCACCTCCCCTCTTCCCCTCTAACTAATGCTGTTACTGTAAGAATTATAATAAGGCTTTTAGTGAACTTCTTTGGTTATATAATTTGTGTGGTACAGGTGCAGAAGGTTTTCAGTCCCAGTGCAGTGTTTTCTAGTCTGACTCCAGGCAGACTCTACCACTTTGTAGTACGAACAGAGAAGGAGTCCTTCACAGACAGTTCCCCCGTCTCTATCAACATCACTGCAGGTAAACACACGCAAGCACACACACGCATGCGCAGTACTCAATCTTCCTATTCTAACAACTACGTGTAATGTTTTTTTATTACACCAGCTCCCAGCCCAGTTGAGGTGTCTCTTGTCAGTAAGACCACATCCTCCATATGCATTCATTGGGTTATGGTCAGGGGAGTGGTAAGCGGACTCATCCTGTCAATCAAAAACAGAACATCCAATCAAGAGCTGATGATTTTTCATCAGGAGCCCAGGTCAGTCAGTTCTTCACTTCTTGTCAGCCAGTATGAGACTGGAATTACAATCATTAGATCAAAACTTTCTTTTGTAACAACAACAGATTGCAACATGGATTACCCAAAGCTTGTCCTTAAAAAACACTGGAGCTGTGTGTGTTCACAGATCTTACAACTTCGAAGGCCTTGCTCCCGGAAGCCAATATACAATTGAAGTGATTAGCACCAGCGGGGAAAAAAGGAGTGAACCTTGTACTATGATCCTCCATACTAGTAAGTTTAAGACATATGGAGTGTGTGTGCCTACATTTGCATGTGTGTAAAAGAGAGAAAGAAAGAAAATGATTTTGATTACAAAATTAATGTAGCAGGAAATAAATAGTCACAAGAGAGCAGCAAAATGCATATACAACTTGAAAAATATTACCACATACACTATTAGATTAAGAGATAATTTAGAGGTGTCTCTAAGGAGGGCAGGTTCCTGAGCCATGAGAGACAAAAAGGAAATTATTTTTGTCTGCATTCACTCCACTGATAACATTTTATTACAACATTGTGTCAGAGTAGAATGGTGGTTTGAAATAAATCATTGTCACAACAGAAATTAAAACACCAGCTTTGAACTATAGAGGGACCAGCTAAAAAGGAAACTATGCATGTGTTTTTCTGGCCTCAGTATTTGCTTTTAATGCTGATTATAGTTACATTTTACACACGTAAAATGGTTACCAGATAAATTATTCACACTGAATTAACAGTACAAAATTATGTTTGAATCTCAGTACTCATTCACTTCCAGTGTCTCACACCTCTATTCAGAGTGACAGTGTCAGTACATGGTATCACATGCTAATGGGAATCTTGTCTGCAGTCCCAGAGGTGCCACAGGAAGTGACTCTGTCAGAGCCGGTAGTGACGTCTGTGTTTGTTACCTGGAGACCATCACGGGGACAGGTAGAGGGGTACAGGGTAAGACATGTATACTACTGCATCAGTCCAGTTCCACGTAACAATCGAAGAAGGAGAGATACGCGTTACAGGTTGCTACACCACAGTTACTTCCAGACAGATGTGCTTAATGATGTGCATCCTTGCCACACACATTATTCAAAATTATTTTTTATTTCAAGGATAAATAAGGCCACTTGCGTCAGGTGCACACTCACCTGATGGTGACTTAGCAACCGTTGTTGGCACACCACAGATTCGGTTACCAACTCTTTAAAGATGTATGACCTCTGTAGAGCCATGGCCAGGAAGAATGACCAAGCACATTACTTGCACGCAACGTACAAACCAACATTAATAAAAATAAATGACATTGACATTGGGAGATACACAAGATTGGTAGAGCAAAAAAGGCTCATGTTTTCATGTTATTGAAACTTGAATTGGGCCTCTAAAAGGACTGAAGATTTCATTTTGTTTTTCTCAGCTTGTTTTTGGCCTGCTGTCTGTGGACACGAAATCGTGGATTGAGGTGCTTGTCCAGGGCACAAGTTATGAGATCAGGGATTTGATCCCTGGGTCAGACTACAGTGTCAGCATTCAGAGTGTGCTCGGCTCAGACACCAGTCAGGCAGTCCACAGAGAGTTCAGTACACGTAAGAAACACTCATACGCACACACACAGAAACACACAGGCCTAAATTCTGAACAGTATGTCGGGATAGAAAAAGCTATTAGTGATTCCTCAGTTAAAAGATTATATCCTTGTAACACATTAAAAGAAATTAAATTGTGACCTAAATTATGAAAACTATAGGTGTAAAATTACAATAAATATCTTCCAGGCCCGGCAGGATTATGCGCCCTTCATTTAGCCAACATAAACTCTACTTCTGTCTCTGTGAGCTGGGACAGTGCATTCGGAGAGTTTGACTTCCACAGAGTGACTGTAACCAACACCTCAGTCACAAACACACTCACCATACCCAAGAAGGAGCGGTTTGCCGTGGTCACAGGGCTGGTGCACGGCTGCAGCTACAACGTTAGCGCTGAGAGAGTGAGAGGAGTGACAGCGGGGAGCCCTGCCTTTCTGACTGTAACCACAGGTAGACATTATTATTTAGGGATGCACCGGTCAACACCCCATTATTAGTGATACTGAAACTTTCTCCACCTCTCTGACTCTATTTCCCTCTTTCCTGTCTGTCATTAGTGCCAGCCCGTGTACAAGGAGTGCGTTTCGTGAATGTCTCTGCACGTGCATTCTCCCTACGTTGGGAGCAGGCGGTGGGGTGTGTGGATCATTACGAGGTGACCCTGCAACCAAACCAGGGGAAAGTCACAGTGCACCCAGCACGTGATGGATACATTCAGGTATACACACATACTCAATAAAACACACAGCTGCTTAGATGCAGTAACAAGGGCATTTTCTGAACACCTAATAGACTCATAGTAGACGCTTGGACAATAAGACAGCACAGTTCACCTAAATACCATCAATGCAATGTTATTAACATCAGCACAAATGAGGTCTAGACTTGCTGCTGAGTTATCATTCTGAGTGTACAAACTACAGGAACACACAAACATGCATGCATTATCTCTCCTCTCATTCAAGTCCCACCCCATACCGGCTCTTCCCGGCTGCCAGGTGTCAGATACCCCCCAAAATGTAACCTTACACACCACACACACAGAGCACACAGAGCACAGAGTTGAGTAATAGATCTCATTATTTATTAAGTTGGCCTCATGAGCTCAACCCTGAATCATTCATTTGCTTAAGCAGCTCTCCCTAGAGAGCAAGAGAGAGAGAGAGACCAGAGGGAGAACGTTAGCCTCGTGCTAATGAAAGGACCCACTGCCCTCCCAGGCTAGCCACAAAAAATTTTGGAATACCTCAAGACCAAGCGGCGTTAATATCCAATGCCTGGACAGCTAACCCTGTGACCTTTACTCATGCCGTTAACCAGCTTCTAGACCTGGAGTTGTTCCTGTTCAGCTCAGTGGATTACCTGTAAACCACTGCTAACAATTGTGCACTAACACTGGATGCAGTTCTGCTGACGAGGCCTCTAACCCGTGTCTAAACTAAAGCTACTCAGCATGGCCTTCTTCTCACTTGTCCTGCTGCTCACACTCTGTTTGGGACAGGTACACTCACAGGTAAGAAGTCAACACTCAATATCTGGCATTGCTGTGCACATATTTGTTTATTTATTCAGATATACAGAACATTAATAAACCATTTACACTCTATTCTTCTACATATATACACATACTTGTTGTCACATGAGCATGTACAGTGAGGAGGACATACACAGATGTAGGAAAAAAAAAGCTTGGTCATATTTCTGGGAGGTAACAGAAGGTATCAGTATGACACCTTGCCGTGCAACATACTGATTTCACAGGTGCAAATGTTGGTAGCAACACATACTAAAGCAAAAAGACTGCAACACAGCCAACACTTTATTATTCTGTAACAGACACAAACTCAAATATGAAGATACAAACAAGTGCAACCACAAGCAGAAACAAGCTGTCATCCTCACACAACCACCCACCTTCATATTGATACAGATGGCTGTGGCTATGGTTTTTCTTCAAATAGAGTTGTGGTGATTGCTTAATAGGCTACAAAACAGAAGGCTGAGTGCCCTTAGGGTTATTGCAGATTTTAACAAAGTAATTTAGATTCATTCCTGCTTCTGTTTGTTGAAATTTTTCAGAAGGAATACTGTATTTTCTTTAGAAAAGACGATGGAGCCCAGCTAATTTGAAATAATTAATAAATTAATTAATAGGTTAAAAAACTATACCCACATTTTTTTAGGAGGAACATAAATAGGATGGTGCTGAAACAATTAGTCAATTAACTATTTTTTCAAGTATTAAAATCATTTTTTAAACAAGAATTAATTAAAAGTTACCCTGTTTCAGCTTTTCAATAATCAGGATTTGCTGCTTTTCTTTGTTTTATGTAAACAGAATATATTTCTGTCACCAAAACCAACCGTAACAAATGACAACTGACAAAACAAGCAATAGGAAGATGTCCCCTTGGGCTGTAAGAAACTGTGATGGGCCTTTTCCCATATTCTTACATTTTACAGATTAATAAGTGAATCAAGAGAATAATCATTAGATTCATTGATAAAGCATAATTGAAAATAATCTGTAGATGCAGCTTTTACTGTAACCAGTGGACTACAAAAAGCTAACTTCACAAGACACCTCCTCCCCCACCAACCAAGTTACCACGTACTGCGATTGAGAGTGCATACAAACTAGTTGGCAAGTAAGCAGAGAACACAAGGAATGGATAAGTTTAATGGAAAACAATAGCAAAAGGCTTTATCTAGAGCCAGTGTTTTATTCCATATTAGGATACTGTAGAAACATGGTAGTTCAATATGGTGACTGCCTTTAGATAAAAAAAAGTCTCTTTCTAAGGTAATGAAAACAACAATTCGCATTTCCAGAAAATTATACACTAATGAATATATATTTATACATATTATATTCCAATATGCCAATAAATCCTCCAGCTCTTTCCAGATTACACACTGGGCCTTTAATCTGGTTTAAAATCCATTGAACAAAAACACAAGAGGTACTTTGGCTGTAAGGGTTCATGAGGCAAAAAAAAAGGTTGGGAACCTGTGAGATGATGTTATATATGTATGTTTTGACCAGTTGTCTGTGTGTTTTGCTGTTTTTACAGGCCGATGTGGTAAATGTCAGTCCGGGGACAAAATACACCGTAACAGTCACAGTAGCCTCTTCCTCCTCCTCCTCCTCCTCCTCCTCCTACTCCTCCTCCAACATCAGCCCTGGAGTCAGTCGCATGATCAATACTAATGAGAGTGGTGAGACGTGCACATGCACACACTGTTTGTTGTTGTTAGGATGGGTTTTGTTTTTGGGTGTTAAAGTGCCATCAGGCTCTCGTCTGCCCTCTGCTGTTTAATTCAGTCCCTGTATAGCACATGTACACACACACACACACACTCGGAGGATCAGTCCCCCACAGACAACAACACTATTCTTCAAATGACTCTGGTACTGTGTTCTGTTGAGTTCTGATATACAGACGTTGGTATTTGTCAAAGGATTTATATGGGATCTCTGCTGTATTTATGGTATTGAACACAGATAGAGTGAAAAGAAGGTAATGAGGAAAGACTCTCTTTTCTTCTCTTCTTTTCTCTTTTTCACAAACTTCCCTTCTTCTCTTCCAGTTCTTGGACCACCTTTAGGCCTAGAAGGAGAGGCCGTGGGCTCTAATGGTATTCTGCTCTCCTGGACCATGCCACCTGATGCCAACAACATTGATGGATATGTCATCAGGTAATTCTTTGTTGCCTTCTTGGAAAACTGCAATTCAAGATTTATTATTTATGTCTTTGTCTATCACAACAAAATGAAACAGAATATTTCTATGAGCTCTGGCAGATTGTTTTCACCTTTTAAAGGAAAATAATCCTTTGAAGACTAAAATGAACTGCTAAGACATAGATTTCATTCACTGGACAATGCATTAAGAAGCTAATTCTATGTTTTATATGAAAAAGAATCTGCAAAATATACAAAAAGTACAATATTTGCGTATAAAATAAAGTGGGATAGAGGTAGCATTAAATGTAAATACTAAAATAAAGTAAAACCTGTAAAACCTAAAAAACTGTGCTTAAATACAGTAACTGAGTAAATGTTCTTCATTACTTCGTTACTCAGTCTTTTACAAATTCCTTCATCCAGCTGTTCATACATGTTTGATGTGATGTCAGATGATGGTCTTAAAGACTGATTTCTTCCTGCAGGTACAAGGAGGTGTGTCCTTACCCCGATCCCACCTTCACACAGACGACCAAGTACCTGGACATACCAGAGACCCTGCTCACTGACTTCACCTCAGGTTCCACGTACCACATTGAGGTAGGATACACAGTTCAAGATTCAAAACTTTATTATGATAAAAATGTAACTAATGGGATTTTGCTTTGGAGAAAAACACAGAAACCACAGCCAAACAATAAAACATTTATGCATCATTAAAAAAAAGCTTTTGTAAAAGGATGATACACAACAGTATGTGTATATATATTCAGTTATTTATCTTCATCAGATGCACACCCAAGCACCAACAATCTCTGTTTGTCTCATAACAAACATCATATATGTTCAATGTGGATGTGGCTAGCTAACACAGATCCCACAAGACCAGACTATTCTCTTGATCTGGCTGAATACTGGTAATTGATCCTGATTGCATTATTAATCAGGTAAACAGATCTATGGATCAGCTTTGGCTCTTTCCACTGTCTGTTGTCACTGAGCTTGAATGTGATCGTGCTTATTAGTTTTCAGAATTCATTAACCCACAATGACCTTCATACAAATGGACTCTGAGAGAACGACACACACCGTGATTATAACTGCACATACTGTGTTTGTATGTGAGTGTGTGTGTGTGTGTGTGTGTGTGTGTGTGTGTGGGGCGGGGGGTGCATGTATCATATTACTACATCTCACCTGTGAGTGTGTTGGTCCACTAAACTATGTACTGAGCCGAGCTCATGAGCAACTTCTTTCTTCAGCTTTGGCCCATATATCTGATCGTTATATCCATGTTATTAGCATGAGCAGCAAAAATCATACATATTGTAAGCTGCAACAGATCGCCGTCTTAACTAGTCTATTTGTCTATTATTTCTTCCTTATTTTCCAGTTAACAAAAAGAAATGCACAATAAGATGAGCGTATTTCACCAGTTTGTTACACAAATATTTGAAAACTCATTTGATAAAAGCGCAGAAATCTCGCCTGTCCTGTTTCAAGTAATTGAAACTTGTTCCTAGAAAAATCAGAAAACATATAACTGCACTGTAAACAACAGGAATTAACTTCTTGGCCTATTGTTTTAAGTATTGACAGCTGGATATGAGACACAATAACCATCACAAAAACTTTTTTATAGTGTGTTTGTAGCCAAAAATCTAAGATTTTATGAAGTATGTGTAAAGTGTGAAGTGTTTATGTTCCTTCTGTTATTAGCCAGAATTCAACAGTTGTTGGAAAGCATTTAGAAATTGGCAATCCCCCTTCGCCTTGCTGTACCAAAAAGAAACCAAACTGAAAACCATGACCCTCAAAACCATAATATGAACTGCTCCTCCCCTCTGACATGACTAAGCTCCTCTCACGTAGAGGTAAGAAGAAGAGGCTGGCCTGATAGCACCACTGGATGCGGTGAGCGAGGCGGCTTTCTTTGGTACTGAACAAGCAGTACCAGCCCCCCATAGAGGGGATCTTATTTCATGTATAATTGGCCTGTCAGCCCCGACTCTGAAAACAGTGAGTGGTCAGAATGCACAAGCTATATGAACATTAAGCAGGGGATACAGGCTTTGCCATAATGACCCCACAATTCAGGGGAGTAATTCAGTCACAAGATCGCTTTATACGGGAGATTTCTTCACTGTTAGAAAAAAGAATTATCCCTCCCAAACATAGTTGGGGTGGTGTTTATTCAAGATATTTCCTGCTTCCCAAGAAGGGAGGATGCAGCATATATGCATTTTTATAAACAAGCACCTCAGAAAATACAAATTCAGGATGATCGTGCTGTGTTTTCTTCCGCCTGCTGGTTCAATCGACTTCAAAGGTGTTTGTGTAGGAAAACTGACCAGTTCCTTGTGTCTTGGGCAAAGAAGCACTTGAGGAAGCCAGTCTCAAAGCAGCAGCTCTCTCGCTGTATTGTGGGGGCTATTGCTTTAGCATATAGTTCTAAGGGTTTGCAGCCACCTGAGGGGCTACTTGCACATTCTACCAGGGGTCTCACCACCTCATGGGCTCCTTTCAGAGGCATCTCCATTCAGAAGAAAAGATGTAGGCAGCAAGAGTCAGAAATCCAGCTGTATAATGTTGTAACATTGTCGTTCATGTGTTACTGGGATCACTGAATCACCTCTAACAGAGTTTTGTTACAGTTGTGATCAATGCCTGAGATTAGCACCTAATCGGGATCTGATGACTGCCCCATCGACAGGAACATGAATTAATCATTATGCCAACGCTCTCTCTCTTTCCCACTAGGTAGCAGCCATATCTCCAGCTGGAATAGGAGCCTTCAGCAAATCTTTATACATAAAGACTGCTGAGTCCCGTGGGTATTCATGCACACACACGCATAATTATCTCAAGCTCTAAAGCAGTAATTTACACTAACGGTATGTGTGTGTGAGTACATTAATTGCTGTGTGCATTTCCTACAGCCCCTGGCCTGGTGACCAACTTGACAGCGTTTGCTCAGAACCACACCTTCGTCGTGGTTACCTGGTTCCTGCCGCACCGCATCAATGGCCTTATCACAAAGTTTGCTGTCAAGGCGAAACATGCTCGTACTGGGCAGACTGTCCGCATGCTGGAGGTCAATGCAGAAGACATCATGACCGGAGCACTGCCTCACTGCAATGTACTTCATTATAACGTCACCTTCTGTCTTCTTAAGTGAACTATTATTGTAAAATGTTCCTTTTCTGTCAGGATTATAGATGCTACCAAGGCACAAGGCAGACCATCTGTACAAAATGAAGCTAGAAATGACTGAATACTTTTCCCTCTGTGTATGTTTGGTATGTCTAGGATGCAGCCGATATCCTGTCCCGTGCGACTCTTAGTCCCTTGGAGATAACAGCATCGTCTCCACCCATCACCCTTTCCGCCGTGCCCCCTGCAGCCTCCTGGAGTGTGCCCATATCAGTAGGAGTTGATCAGCTTCGACCTTACACTGCTTATCTATTTGAAGTGTCTGCCTTCACTTCTGATGGAGAGGGACAGATAGCCTCCACTATGGTCCGTATGCCAGAATCAGGTGTGTGAAAAAGAAGCAAACCAGGCTGTAGTTTTGGTTTAATTTGTGAATTAAAGTGTTATTTGTATGTGCAATGTTTACTGCATGTATAAAAATCTGTATGTTTGTGTATGACAGCCCCTGAGGACTCACCACAAAACTTTGTATTAAATATGACGTCTCGATCAATCTCCGTGTCCTGGAACTCTCCCAATATTATCACAGGAAAATTCACCTACATGCTCTACCTTTATGGACCTACAGGTTATTAAAAACTAATTCTTGTTCTCACTTGTGCATAAACAGACTCAAACTCTAAATTGATAAATTGACAAATCCAAACAATTGTCTATTTCTTCTTCATCCCAGGATATTTGTATGAGAACAGCACAGGGGACATGCGGTTTGTATTTACTGGTTTGACCCCCTACACAAGGTACACAGTGGCCGTCCGAGCAAAAGCTGCTGGAGAAGTGGGTCCAGCAGCGCAGGATGATGTAATTACACCTGCTGAAGGTGAGGAGAACACTCATCTAATAACTTATGTCATTTTGCATTTAGATCTGGGTTGCAACTGATAATTATTTTCATTATCATGTATTATTATTATCATACAGTAGTTCTTGATTAATCAAGTTATTGTTTTGTGAATTAAATGTGAGAGGATAATTTCCTAGAGCCCAAAGTGAGGTCTTTAACACACACACCTCATCATAACCTGTTATGTTCAACCTGCAGCCTGAAACCCAAAGATACTCACTCACAATGAAGTGAAAGAGATCGAAGTAGCAAATCCCTACATTTGATAATTTGGAGCCAGAGATTGTTCAGCAGTTTGCTTGAGAATTGACTCAGATTACTTTTCTCTTCAATGGCTAATACTGTAGATGACTCAAGTAACGCTTTCAGTTTAGTATTAAAGCTACTGAGAAGTCTGAATATGTGGTGCTTTGTGAGCGTGTGAGTGCTTCTTTATCCATATACGTCTGTGTCTCTATTTGTCTGTTGAGTAGCACCCAGTGCAGTGCAGGACTTGGTGGCAATAGCTGAGGACTCAGTTTCAATCCGTGTGAGTTGGAGAAGTCCTGCTCAACCCAACGGCTTGATCACGCAGTACAGATTGCAGGTTCTGGTTGACAACATACTGCTGCAAGACATCACCCTCATGGCAGAAGTGGTAAGACAGACGTTGCAGCAAACATGAGCCTGTTCTACTGACAAGATTGTACCAAATTGGACCATTAATACCTACGTTTTGCTCATATTAGAGAAAAGCAGTTCCATGGACTTGTGAAGACCACTCTTGGTCATTTTTAGGGGCTGGACATTATATATCATACCCACCTGTACAATCCATTAGACTTCCCCTCTAAAAAAAACGTGTGAACACATCCAGTTTACAGGGGCACTGAATAAACTCTAATTTTAAGCTTGTGTCATCAGCCTTTACAGTATGATGTAACCCAAAGTAAAAACACTGCAACAGCCTCATAAATGAACATATTGTTCAACAGTTCTCTCCATTTATCATCAACTGTTGTTTCTAAGCTCTACAAAGGTATATTTGTACTGTACAGGTGGTCCTTTACATGCTCCTCAATACACTGACAAATGTCTACAATCATTGGGACTAAGATAAAACCATGCTCATATGCAACCTGTAAGCCATGTCCGCAGCCTGCTGATGTCCATTGATTCAAGTAGACATTGCTTTAAGGGCTGAGGAGCCAAAATGGTTAAGAATCATTGCTTACTACAGGAAAAAAAAAGAACTACAGAAAAAAAACACAGAATATAATTGTTTTCCCCTTCAGAATACAACAATTATGGATGAAGATCAGACACTTCCCCCTGATGTCCATAACAATCCAGGGCGACGTAAGAGAACTGCTGAGCTCAGCCTGATCACATCACCGCCAACTTTCACGGCCACTATTTCTGATCGCACGCTGCCCACTACTGTGACTACTTCCAGCCCTGCACACTCCAATGACCAAATCAGTAACACCGATGCTCACCCAACTGCAGGCTCCACAATCACTGAGGAGCCCAGCACCAGTTACGCTTCTGCTTCACACTCTAACAGCACAAATATTCAGCCTACTGACTCTGCAGTCGTTGAGACCTCTGAATTTGCTTTTACCTCTGTGCCACCTGCTACACCTCCACCCTGGCTGACGGAGCAATCTCATACTGGGGTTATGACCTCAGATTCCTCCCCATTACCCCTGACCCTAGGCCAGCTTCACTTGTCCACGCATGATGCATCGATTACAGGACACTTATCAACACGCAGTGCGACGGCTTCTGGTACTACAGGTGGGAGAGAATTATAAACACTCCTTTGAGGATTTTTATCTGCTCCACTTCTTATAAATCCTGTGAGTGCGTGTGTTCTTGTATATCCATCTGTGTCTGCATGCTTGTTGCAGGTGTAACAGTGAGAGAGGAGATGGTGGGTGTTTTCTCTGAAGAATTGTCTTACCTGGTGTACGATCTGAGTCCCTTCACCGCTTACACGTTCAGGGTCACCGCTTCTACAACTGTGGGGGAGGGTCCTGCAGCAAATATCACTGAGAAGACCAGAGAGCAGGGTGGGTGGTCAAATGTTGCAATAATCATTAATATATAAAATAACTTGTGAAAAGGCCTTTAAAAGATGCAAAACTTTAAAATAAGTCTTTTTCCTTAATAATCTCTTGTACTGTATGTGTTGTTTAGTCCCTAGCTCAGTGCTTGACGTGTCCTATCAAAACATCACCTCCAACTCCATACTAGTGAGCTGGGTCCCACCACTCAACCCCAATGGGCTGATCACACATTACACTGTCTATGGTCTCAAACTGCACAGTAATCAGGCTCTCAAGTGGGTTACTAACACTACCAGCATACTGATAACAGGTAGAGTAATCACATTTCCTGCACAGTTCTATGCAGCCATTATAATTATTATAATACAGGTCAGTTGCTAAATATCTCTGTTCTAATATATAGATCTGGACAAGTATACTGGTTATAAACTACGTGTAGCTGCATCGACAGCTGTGGGAGAGAGCTCTCTGTCTGAGGAAGATGACATCTTTGTTTTCACCTTAGAGGATGGTATGTGTTGAACGCAAATAAAAAAATAATGTATAATATATTATACTAAGATGGTGAATGTTTGATCAAATAAAATAGCAATACATCTGTCATGGATTAAAAAGAGCATTTAAATTAAAACTGTACTGTTAAACTACAGAAACAAGTGACAAAGTGAGAGCATTTAGTGTTGAGTTTGTGCAGCTATTTTACCTTGTTGAGTTGTTGTGGGTGCCCAGTGCGTGGCATGCACCTCACACTGGGCCCCAACAAAACAATCAATGTCAGTGAATGAATGTCAAATCGATATTAAATATGAAACTTTTCATCAAAATTACACAGTAGTTGTTGAATTACCTATTTAGTGTGATGGTAGATCAGTTAGATCAGGGATGTCCAACTCAGGGGACATCATGTCAAATATATAATATACATATAGTTTTTTTAGTTGTTTCATATCAAAACCCCTTCATGTACAATAAAAAATGTCAATCTGATCCTTAGAGCCTGAATCGCCCCCTGTGAACCTCACTGTGGATGAGACCAGCCCCTCCACTGCCACACTAGTCTGGTCTCCACCAGAGAAAGCCAATGGGGTGATACAACATTATGAGGTCCTGTATGAGAACGAATCCTACTCTGCACTGATGAACACGTCCTCTAACAGAGTCACACTGATGAACTTGAAACCATTCTCCTACTACAATGTGTCTGTGAGGGCGTACACGCGTTACGGCCACGGCAACCAAACGTCAGACACTTTATACCTGCTGTCTGGAGAGGACGGTGTGTTGATTGTTGCACCCACACAAATAAACACATACAAAAACCTTTAGTAACAATATGAACTGTTCAGATTTTAGTAAAGTGCTTCTTCTTGTTCTCCCTTCAGTCCCAGGCAGTCCTCCATATGGCGTTACTTTTGAGTCGGTCAGTCCCAGCGAGGTGAACGTGACCTGGCAGCCTCCTCTGCTGCCTAACGGGCTCATTACCCACTACAGCCTGGAGCTCTGGAATTCCACTCACTACCTGAACCTCACTTCCCCGTCCAACTACATCCACATCACGCACCTGAGGAAGTATGCACACTACCGCGTCATGGTGCAAGCGCACACACGTGTCGGGCCCGGAAACTACAGCAGCGAGCCGCTCAACATCACCACACTGGAGGATGGTGAGAGGGACGGGTGGGGGGGGGAAGAGGAAAGGGGAGGGTTTATTTTCAGTTCGAGCACACTGCGCGATTACATCATGGCCGAGTTCGAAGGGCATCTGATTAAATCTGACTTTCCTCTCGTCTTTTCCTCCTCACTTACATCTCTCTGTTTCAGCTCATGCTAATGATGTTACATCACAGGTATTTGATGCCACATGACATCTGGATTCAGAAGAACAAACAACAGATCATTAAAACTAACCAGTTTTTCATTTCAGGGCAGTACTCTGTTCCTGAGGGGGGCCTATGAGGGTCTTATTTGCCCAGTGCAAATATATTTTTAACCACCCTATCAGTTCTGTCTCTGTACTGAAGGGCCTAATTCTGATTGTATTATCATACTGGAAAGTTTTTCTCCTGCATCTCAGCTCCAGACACACCTCCTCAGTTCCTCCATGCCAGGAAGTTGTCAGACTATGAGGTAGAGTTGTCATGGCAACCACCACTTGAGGCCAATTCAGACATACTCTACTACATTGTCAGAGTTTGGTGAGTTTCTTAATCTACTCCTTTCTGTCTGTTTGACTCTCTGTTGAGAGAGAGCACATTGCAACATAAATGGTTGCTCTCTTTTTCAGGAATGAAACGACTGAGCTGTGGCACAATGTAACACAGACATCAGTGGTTATTAGTGTAGACTCGGAGAGTCGCTACAATGCTTCTGTCTCCAGCTGGACCAGACTGGGAGACGGAGGAGTGCTAATCTACATCAGCTTTACCACTACAGATGCAGGTGCTGGATAACTGTTTAAGGATTTTTGACATAACTTTATCGTCCTCACATACAAAACATTTCATAACCATGCATTTGTATGAAGTTCATTTTTGTCTGGCTGTCCTTTGTGTCTTTGCTCCCTGGCTTTTCAGAACCATTTGACCCCCCGCAGAATGTGACTTTTGTAAATGTGACCGCCTCCTCGGTCACCTTAATGTGGCACCCGCCTACAGAACCTAATGGAATCATTATACATTACACTATTTACTACTCTGATAACAACACTGTGACTGAGCAGGTAAGATACTTATACTTTTATTTTTGTGTCTTTTAGGTCATAATTTAGTTTCTCTGGCTCGCAAATTAATGTTTTTGTTCACTCTCACTGCTCCCATTAACCTTGCTGGTGAACAGTAGAGCATTTTAGCAGCTAAAGAGCCATATTTATTTTTTTGTGAATAGCTAACACTAACAAATAGCAAATTGCAAACATTCACCATTTCAACTTTATAATGCAATACTACGTCAGTGTTGAGTTTACGGGTAATTCTGCTGCCCCCAAGTGGCCAAAAAAATAATACGGCTCTAAAAAAAAGGAACATAATAACTGCTTCCTAGTGGCTTGTGGCTCGTGGCTGAACAACATCTTGCCAAGAAACTTAATGCTGTTTTTTTTGTCAGAAACGTTGCTCTTGTTTAAATGTTGCCTGTTTCAATGTGTGAATGTAACCCTAACACTCTTTTCCTCCATAGAGGGTTCCAGTTTCAGATTTACCTGCCCCTGCCTCTCCTGATTCAGCCCTCTTCTACGCTCTGACTCGGCTGACTGGGGGCACAAACTACTCCCTGTGGATGACCTCCAGCACTGTGCAGGGGGATGGAGGGGTCCAGAGCGAGCCACTAACCCTGTTTTTACCGGAGGACGGTCAGTCACACACACACACACACACACACACACTCTAAGAAAATCCCACACACACCAAAATAAATTACTGGAAAAAAATGCCATATAATTACTGAATACAATGATTCAGAGTCTCACTGGAGGGCAAGTCAGCACACTTTTTTCACAACTATTCAACTTTCAACTAAAATTACATAAAAACTCTGTGACTGAAGACGTAACTTTCAGCCTGTTTGTTAAAGGAGATAACAGTCGGTATGGCAAACTGGCTCTATTTTCGTCTGCCTGTGACACCAAGTTTGTGTTTCCTTTTACTAAGCACGTCGAAAGTTGTGAGAGATTAAAATACAGCCAGAGAAAGAGAGCTCAGAACCATTTCCGATATGATGACACAGAGAAAAAACAAAGCCTGATGTGCTTTGAGAAACTTCATGTGCTCGTGCTACAATTGCATTGTTGCCACGAAAACCAAAATTTGCATCTAGTATTTAGTTGCACTTAGTCTGTTTGATATCTTCAGTGAAATAAGTGAAGTGTACATAAAGCTGAATCTCTTTGTTTTTATGTGATTTTGGGAAAAATGGTGCAGACGGCCACGACAAACTGTGTCACATTCAGTACATATTCGTATGTTGTGTTTTATTTTGTTCTTGTCAACATTTTGCTTGTGAAGTATTCTCTGTCTCTGAATGATTACTGCTCATACTGACTCTGTATCTCTGCCTGTGCTCTAGCTGCTCCACTCTCTGCACAAGCACCGGACCTCCAGGGCACCTTGTCTCTCCCGTACAACCAAGCCCAGCAGGGGCTCACTCCCCTGGGCTCAGACCCCCACTCACACCTGGCCCCTCACATCCACTCATTCATCTTATGGATGTCTCAAGTTTTATCTCCCCTTTCCCCTTCATCTCCCCCTTTTTCTACTTTGTGTACCATGCCTTACTTTCGGAGGGGCAGAGATGATGAACAGGATGAGTATTTTCTCCTCAACCCCTTTCTTTCCCAAGGTTTTCAGTGTGCAAATTTCCTTCCTAAATGCCTCTGTATGTCTCTGAATGTTCCTTTTTATAGGATATTGTTTTTGTGTCTGTGTACTGTATTTGCTGTGTTTCTGTGTTACTAAAGTAATATCATGCCCTATTGTTCCCCTTGATGTGCTGTTGCTAATTTTGTTAATTACAATAATGCTGCCAGTGATTATGATGGTGCTAGTGACAGATGATGATGATGATGACTGGTGCGCTGTTCATTTTCCCTCAAGCGTCAGAGTGTGTATAGTTGATTGATGCCCCAATTTACTGCCTCATTGTATAGTAAACTCACTTCAAAAGGCTTACAGTTTTAAACCATTGTTGTCAGTGAGAGTTAAAAATATTAACACTATTCTGCTTGTCTTCCTTTTCAGTGCCAAGTGACTCAGTGCGAAACCTGACTGCTCAGATCTTCAGCTCCACAGCCATCATCGTCAGCTGGGACCCTCCCATGGAGCCAAACGGCCGCCCCTACTACCTGCTCACCTTACAAGAAGCCGGCGTCCCCCCAAATTTATCCAACCAAGGGACTCCAGCTGTCAACAAGACTATCAAGCATACCACAACTGATAATGTCTTCCTATTCACCAGACTCAAGAAATATTTCCCTTACGTGCTGACTGTTACTCCGGCAACAGGTGCTGGCCCTGCCTTGAACCATACCAGCACAATGTACCTGAGAACGGATGATGATAGTGAGTTTATCTACACACATTTTCAGTCATGGAGTTTGGTTCATATATTTAATGTGAAACTGTTTCTCTTTAGTTCCTAGTTCTGCTCCAGTGCTGTTGTCCGCCAGGAATCTGTCATCGTCTTCTATCGCAGTGGTCTGGCAGCGCCCTCTTGAGGCCAACGGAGAGATAACAGAGTATATGCTCACTCTATTCGGCTTAGTGGGCTCCAACACAACGCATACCCCCAACACTTCAATCATCCTCACCGACTTAATTCCATACACAGCTTACAACCTCACTATTACTGCTGCAACGCGTAAAGGATCAGGGCCGTATCTGCTGGTGCAGCTGCGCACTGATGAAGGAGGTTAGTTTGAAAGCAGGTTTCTCTAATATTTTAATGAGATGGTAATTATTTATGAAATGATGTGTGTATATCTACTGTCTGTTTCGGTCTATCTTTTCTATCTGCTTACTGTTTTGTGTTTCAGGCCCCATGTCCCCTCCCCGTAACCTGACTATATACAACCACACATCGGTCTCTGTGTGGCTGAGCTGGGAGCCTCCTCTGGAGCCCAATGGAGTGGTGATACAGTACGGCTTCAGGATCCGAAACCTCATCACACAAGCCGTCACACACAGGGTACCCTTAATTTCACACACCGAAAGCTACTCCACAATAACAACAACACACACACACACACTCCAGAGACCCACTTAGTAAGAATAAGCACTGTCACACGGACCGTAGCTCCAATTTCACACTCCAGATACCGCTCAGCAGTAACATTATACGTACACACACATGCACATACGTGTGCCGATATGAAGACATTATCCACTCCAATAATCTAGATTGGATTATTTGATCTCCTATTTGTGTTTTTTTCCGTGTGTGTGTATTTGTTTGTGTGCACAAATGTAGAATTCCTCCGGTCCGTCGACCACTGAGCACCTATCAGGCTTCAGGCCTCATAGCTCCTATGAGATCAGTGTTTACAGTTACACCAGAGTGGGCCATGGGAACCAGTTCAGCAGCCCGGTGACCTTCAC